ATTAGATGTTGCGGGTTTTATTAGTATCGAGGTGTTAATGATACTGCAGACGAGAACGCTGGACTTCGAACGCTTCACCTATTAGGACACTGAAATATTTCCGATGAAGGATAAAGCCCCAGTAACCAGGAGGCGATATCCGGCGACGACCAGAGAATACTAGTCGGCTTGATTGGGATAACTAAGAGTTGCCCCTTCTTTATTACTTTACTTCAAGGCGATTTCATTCCTGAAGGAGAGCTTCGTAAATATGCTTTGCTGATTTGGCTGCTGGTTAGTAATACGAGCGTAATTTAGTAAATATCAGCAAAATCAGGCTGATCTGACGTCGATTTAAAAGTGAAACACAGAAGCTAAGTGTGATTAACGATCCGCGAAGAGATAGCATACATTTAGCAACCCACTGTTGTACGACATAAATGCGTGACAACGCAGGTAAGCGCGTCCAATCACGGGAGGTGAGGTGAAACAGAGTCGGCAGAAATGCGACAGACGAGTTCGGGGAGATGGGGGTAACTCAATATGGTCTAGAGGACTCACCACTCCAAGCGAACACATCGTGCAAGGGGTAACTGGTGAGCCACGCCACACCGAACACGAGACGACTCAGAGTTAGTAGAGATATGGCGGTAGTGAGCGCAGCCAGCACGCGTTTGTTGTAGCGACCTGGAGTGGAGGTTGCCGGAACCGACGCGGTGCATCCATCAAGGTCAGCCTTCGAAACTGGCGTGCTCTCGAGGGTGCATCGGAAGCACAGGGCGAGAGAGAGAAAGACGACCGACGAGAATATGGCACTGGTTCCGGTTCGCAGACCCCTATTCAGTAGGCAGAATAGGACATTTCTTAAAATTGGCATTAAGCATATCGAACCGTCAATTCTAGTCAAGCGGTACTGTGAATTGCTATTGGCTTAAAACTCTATTTGCCTTTATCCTTCATCGAAAATATTTCAGTGTCCTAACAGGTGAAGCGTTCGAAGTCCAGCGTTCTCGTCTGCAGTATCATTAACACCTCGATACTAATAAAACCCGCAACATCTAATCTGCGATATATAGCAAAACGTTAGTGAATTATGCATTTGAAATCAGATAAACCATATCTGGTCACACTACGAAACTGTGTTTTGGTACAGGTAGGTGCGCTAAATTTCACATCAGATTGGATAATCCTGTAGAAACCAATTTTGTGTCAAGTCGTGGCAAAAACCTATTTGGTTTTTTGCATCTTGGTTAATTTATGTGTGTTTCGATGGAAATTAATGTCAATGCTGCAACGCGTTTCTATCGGCAGTTAAAAGGCCTCAATTTTAAGCAAGTTTAGCAGTACAATGCGTAAACGATCATTGTAGTCGTAGTCTTAGGATCGATTTCAACTTGAAGCTTGAAGCAGAAACGTTCTTTTACTTATTCCACGCGGACGAGAAAGACGCTGAGACCGACCTTTATGAAAGCAACTCACTTGCCAGAATTGGTTTAAG